TTACAAAGAACCTCGGCATTACGGGGAAACTAATGCTTAATTATCAAAACTGTCCTAAGTTAATCTCTCTTTTCTTTCCCTCTTTAGCCCAAAAAGAAAAAGAGACTGTCCTAAGTTCGATGTAAACCATGCCATCTTTCCGCCTACCTTAAAAAATTATTCAAACACCATAAAGAACTCAAGTTGATGTCTCAAGGTGGGCAAGTGCATCCCTATACATCGAAAGTATCACAAAATCATTAGAAAAAACCAATGGTATCCTAGTATAAAGGATATTGTAAAATCTGTGTACATTAATTTAGAATGACAAAAACAAATAACTAAGAGGACTTACGGGTTAAATATGTCCCACAATATCAATCATTCTCTTTGGGACCTCTAAATTACTTTAACCAGTTGGGTATCCTTCCCAAAATAGAACTTGGAACCTCTAATTACTTTGGAACTCTTTGGCCCAAAACCAGTTTCACCAAATGCAAGAACTAATAAACTTGCAGTAGCTCAAGTGTTAAGAGCTAGCAGGTTATATGCAACATGATTAGGGTCAAAATCTTGAATTTTGAAAATTTTCACGTCCCATTCCCCCTCCTCCAATAATCAAAAAAAGAAAGAAAGAAAAAGCCTGCATCATCAGAGAGGGTGTTCCCTCCTAGGGTGGTTCTTAATTCCTAGGATATGAAGATTATTAACTTTCTTTTAGATAGCTACTTGGAACAAACTCCTCAAACCACGTACCTTAACCTAAAAAACACAGCACGTCTTGCAATTATCCTGACGTGCTTATATAAGAAATTATTAATCCATTTTTCCTTTGTTACTTCCGAACTAGCAAAGTCACCAACTCCCCTAATATTCCAATTCTTAGCATTCTATGCTTCCCAATGTCAACTAGTAGAATACTAAAACAATAGTTAGAAATCTAACTATATTAATAAGATGACAAATATTAAAAAAAGAATGCATATCAAATAAATGGTTAAAATCATGGATCACGGCACAGGACTTTGGGAGGAGATACCTAGCTTTGAGGTTGAATCATGGATCAATTACTTTAACCCTTTTTCATATCATTAAATGTTCTTAAACCTTGCCTTTGGTTTAAAGCATGTTTCTCCATCTTCTGCATACATACTATATTTTTTATCTATCTCTTTTGGTTAGAAGATGCTGAATTAAACTGCTTTTTTCTTTCATACTGAAATTGCTCCCGTCGTTGATGGCATCCTTTTATATCCCTGGTCCCATTACATGCAATACAATTACCTCGTTGTCCCCTCTGTCCTTTTCTGTTGCCTACAATTCTTGTACTCTTTTCCTTCCTAGAAAGCAAATTAGAAAACTTCATGCACATGGTAATTCTCTTTTTCCATATTCATACAGATCCTCGTTTCATAGAAACATGTATTCTAAGACGCAGAGAGGCCTATCTCTGATCGCCTTTGATGCTAAGAACTCAGAATCAGATGGGGAAGATAATCAGAACAAAAACGCACACGAATTATCTGGAGATGAATCCCCAAATATGCGCAATTTCCCCTCATTCTTCCAAGGAAAAACGGTATATTTTCCTACCTCTTTAGGTGGGCTTAATTTTCATTCTAGAGTTAAAATTATTGAGGGAATATATTCATTGTGTTTGGATAAGCGTATTCAAACAATTTATGGAAATTAAATAAGTTGTCTTTTACTGATTTTCATGTTTTAGATCACACTAATCAAAATAAAGCATAATCAGTACATTAGAAACATGTTTAAAAGAGTTTATCAACAACTTACAAAAATAACTTATAACTATATTTTTTCAAATTATATCAAATAATTTTTTGATATAGTTTATTAATATAAACTACTTTCAACTTATCTTAATAAATTTATTATTAAATTTATTACATAACTATATTTTCTTGTGGTGCATTCCTTTTGCACTGCAGGAAATGTTGGAATTGTTCTCTAATCTGATGAGCATGTTTGGAAACAACATTCAATTTGTGGTGAAACCGACTCTGCATGACGGCATGAATGTTGGTATTCAATGGAAATTCGGTAACATTCATGATCTCTGCTCTCATAATCAGAACAACGGAAACATAGGTTTTCATATATGAATTACTGGTGCAAGATGCAGAATGGAATAAGACATGTATTCCCCTGGGGAAGGGTTCCAGTTTACACATACACCATACTTATTACGGAAAGGCGTTAATAAGGTTCGTTTAATTGTGGATTTTGAGGGAAAATAATAATATTAAGATTTTTCATAGCTCATAACATCATCTTTTATGTCTAATTCAGGAATATTGAGATGTTTATGGAACCACTGCTCCAATTGCAACCCTTCAGACTGGTAAGCAAAATCAGGAATATAAAAATAAGATAAATAAAATTCTTTTCATAAATTAAAAATTAATTTGTTAAAATATTTCAATTAATTTCTCTAAAATATGAAAATGTATAAGTTGATTTTAACTTATAAAACATAAGCTAATTTCTCTACAAATACTTGTTCAGAAGACACAAATTGGGTCCATATGCGTACGTCTCAATTTCATATTTTTTTTTTCCCTCTCTTTTTTGTGTCTTCTTTTGCAGAAAATGAAGGTAAGCCTGAGTGAGTTAATGCAGAAGATAGGTTCATTTACAGTGTCGGAATCTGGGAATAAGGCAAAAAGAGTTTTATACGTTGTGCTTGCTGTGTTATCCTTAGCTTCCTTCTTATTCTTCATCAAACTTGTTTCGTAGAAAACCGAGTCATAAATCATGCCATTGTCAATTTCTTATTTTTAGTGATAAAGTAACAAAATGGCTTTAACAAGGTAACCTTCCAGACAAGATTTGGATATCTTGTATTCCTTCTTTTATGTTATGGGAATAAAAAGATACAAACAAATTATTTTCCTAAGTTTCATTAAACTTGCTTTGGTGTCTTTTTATTTCGTAAAAAAATAAAATGAAAGAACTCAAATCCTTCTAGACTTTCAGTCTATAGCGGCAATGTTCATGTACTTCTTGACGTTGGTCCAATTGGATAATCTCCATGACCATGAGAATTTTCCAAATCTGGCTAGCTAAACAGCAAGGTGCATTCCAATGTATTTGGCATTCAAACTCTAAGAGTTGTTTAGTCTCAGATTTTTTTTAATTACGAAATATTACCTTTTTTTATTATTTTTACTACATATTGTATAAATGTTTTATAGCGGAAAATAGAAAAAAGGCGATAATTTTATTAACTAAAAATATTAATATATTTTTTGAAATCAAATAAATTGCAAACGTAACGAGGGAAACATCATAAATGAGATAGAAGGAAAGACGTCACAGCAAGAAGTAAAATGATTTTTTACATAATTTAAAAATATATAACAAAAGTTTCTATATAATAAATTATTACTAAAAATTAGAAGGTTTAATATATTGACAGTATTAAATATTATAAAATTTTAATAAAAAATATAGACCTTAAATGCATTTTAAAAAAATCTAGTAACAGGCATAACTGGACAATTAATTCTATGTTTGGTTTCTAGGATTTCTATTTAGAAAATTAACACTCACACTTAATAATAACAAATACACAATTTAATAAAGATTATAATTAAGATTATTTTAACATATATTCCATTAATATTTAATTATTTCAATTAATTCTATTTAATTTTGAAGCAAGTGAATCCCAAGCTGAATGCCCTGCATAAGAGGAAAAGAAAGCAATTATTGGTAGAATTCCATGTATAGGGCCATAAAAGAATTGTTGACATACATGAACATTCACAATGAATGAAAACAAAAAAAATACGTTATATTGTTGTTAAAGCAAGTTTAACGTAGCTAACAAGTTTTCAATGTGTTTCGTTGTATGATATTTTGGTCTTCATTCATAAAATTTATTGTCGTGTTATTCGTTATATAAAAAATATTTTAAATTGATACCTTTTCATACCAAAACATAATATAACAAAAAAATTATATATATATATATATATATATTTATTTATTTATTTATTTATTTATCATAAACTTCAATTTATCAAATGAAGAAACAGAATTAAAGATAAAATTTTCACGACTCTCTTAAATAAATCAATAAAAGAATAATTAGTTACTCTTTAAAAACTCTCTTAAAAAGTTTAAAAAATGATTTTTTTTTCTCAAAATACACTTAGCCAAAATTATTATATGTGCATCTAGTTAATGTTAAGGACATTTCAATTGTATCTAAAAATGTGTACACTTTTTAAAAATTATATATATATATATGCCCCCTAGTTTCGACATAAAAATAAAACATTTTTTATACAATTTTTCCTTTTTTTTATTTATGCTTTACCTAAAGCCTTGGTAAATTAGACAATGTTAACCGTTTGTGTAAAACATCACTATTAAATATATTTCACTAATAATACATTAGAATTAATTAATATTTTTAAAATTTTGACATCACAGCCATAAAATAGTTGTATTATATATCATATAAAATTTTAAAATTTATTATCGTACGTAATATTATTATTATTATTATTATTTCTTTATATGTATATATAATTTAAATATTAAAAATGAATTTTATTATTTTTTATAAACTTGTTAATAATTTTATTATTTGATGATGTATGTATTAAATTATATATATATATATATATATATATTAAAATAAAAAGTATTTAATGTTTATTTCATTTAATAATAAAAATATTTCAAATATAAGATATAAAAAATTTAAAAAAGAAAAGCATCTTAATGATAGTTAATGAATTTTCCAAACATTTATTACCCGATACTATCTCCAAATTATCTATTACTAAAATTATGTACACATTAAGAACGAAAGAGGTTTCCTGGTTCCTGGATGCAAGAGAGTGACATTCATCATCATTCTCTCACTCTCACCACATTTCTCGTTGAAATTTTCTCTCTTTCGGATCACCACATGACCCTTTCCTTCTTTGCTTTTTTCCCATAAAAATAAAACAAAAACAAAAAACACCCTCTCTCTTTCCTTTGCTTTCTTTGTGTCTTTTCTTGCTGCGAGAGTTATCTCTCAATTTTCTATTCTATGCAGTTTTTACCTTTGTGGGATTCTTTGACCCACTTCTTTCTTTCTTCCAAGACTTTTTTTTTCTGAACCCAAGGTACCCTTTTTCTTTTCCCATTCTCGTTCTGTGGAAGATTCTACCAAGTGGGTTTTTACCTTCCCTTCTATTCTCTTTCTGCGTGTCACGGTCTTTGTCTTTTTATCTGTATTGATGGGTTGTTGATGTCTCTTGCCATTGGAGTGGTTTTGAATTCTGAAGCATGGGTTTGGATGACAAAGTCAAAGACAATGAGAGTGCAGAGGATGATACCTCAAGCGTGCACGTGGGAAAAACTGCCACTGATGAAGAAAGTGGTGATGAAGGGAGAGGGAACCTTAGCAGACACAGGAGTGAGAGTTCCATGGCTGCCACCGAAGATGAAGATGATGAGGAGGAGAGGAAGATTGAATTGGGTCCTCAGTGCACGTTAAAGGAGCAACTCGAGAAGGATAAGGTCCCTTGCTTTTGGTTTCTCTCCTTTCCTTTGCTGTTCGAAAAAATTTATGTTTTTTCAACCACTCTCTCACTCATGTTTGTGTGTGGGTTTCTGTTTGAGAGGTTAGGATGATGAGAGCTTGAGGAGGTGGAAGGAGCAACTTCTTGGAAGTGTTGACATAAATTCTGTTGGAGGTAAGTGGATTGTTTCCATTTATTCAATTTCTGTTTGTTCATGTTATCCTTTTTTTTTCCCTTCAATTTTGTACAATTAATGTGAGTTTATGCATAAGGGGCTCCAAACTCTGCTCAAATTCAATTTTTACAGTGAATGACTCAATTCACAGTCATAAAATAGTGTCCAAAACAGAAGAAATATCATTTTGCCTAAATTGAATTAACTGTATCGGTCATGAATTTGATTAAAGAAAAGAAATCAAAGAATCTTCATCATTTTTTGGAGACTTGAATATCTCATTTCATTTCAATTATTAACATTAACACTGTTACTATTTTAACACATGTTCATTATATAATTATTTTGCAAATGCATTAATACCATAATTTGCTGTTTTTTGTATGGTTTAAACTGATAAGTGATAAAATTTGAACCAAGAATATCCTCAACATTATTTCATTTTGTGAAATCCAACTAACGAATTTAATCAGTAAATGGTTCCATCTTTCCCTGTCTTGTAACTTGCCCTTATGAAAATCCTTTAACTTTTTGTACTTTTCATGAGTTTTGTCCTAACTTCTCATTTGTATTCTGAATAATCTAGAAACTCTGGAGCCAGATGTGAAGATCCTTAGCCTTGCAATAAAGGCTGCTGATAGACCTGACATTGTCCTTCCAATACCAGAGGGAGGAAATCCCAAGGGTTTGTGGTTTACCTTGAAAGAAGGTAGCCGTTACAGGCTGATGTTCGCTTTCCAAGTGGAAAATAACATCGTTTCAGGTCTCAAATACTCCAACACTGTGTGGAAAACTGGTATCAAAGGTAAGTTCATTATTCTCTCTCAATCACATAATGTGAAATAGATAATTTGTCCATAAACATGTCTCATTGAACCTTATTACAGTTGATAGCACTAAAGAAATGATTGGAACCTTCAGCCCCCAAGCAGAGCCTTACACACATGAGATGCCTGAAGAGACAACACCATCTGGGATGTTTGCTAGAGGGACATATTCCGCAAAAAGTAAGGTAATATTAACATATTATTATGTGCTTCCTTTAACACTGGAGATTGTTTCTTGCTGCATACCGTTTTACAATGAGCTAAGACAAAGGTATAAAATTGTTAGCTTTGGTGCATTTTACTATCACCATGCTTCCATATTCAAAGCTAGACTTATCTGCTTCCATATTAATATTTTGGCATTGCTTTGGAAATCAAGTGAAGTTTAATTAATGTCTATTTTGTTTGCATCTATCAACCTACCAATAAATGTTCTAATAAATTTGGCACCAGACTGCATGACCTTCATTTACTCATTTAAAATTCAAATTTGAATCACTTTTTTTCTCACTAGCTAGTCATGAATTCTTGTAGAAACTTATCTTGTAATGAAGTCCTTGCATATGGATTAATGTAAATTGATTGAATTTGTATTTTGTTTGTCTTTATTCAGTTTGTTGATGATGACAACAAGTGCTACTTAGAGATCAACTACACTTTTGATATCCGAAAGGACTGGCAGTAGGAGTCAACAAATTTCTCCTTCAGTGATATGTTCAATCCCAAATCGTTGTTATTTGTGCTGAAATCTCTTTCAGTGTTTACTTGCTTCTTTTTTATTGTTTATTTATTTCTAATCCTGTCTGAGACTGGTAATTTTAACAATGATGAGAGGATTTAGAGGATGAAATTGGTATTCATTTGATAGATAGTTTTGTCAATAAAATTGAGTTTTGCCTGTTTGGGTGCACATTTATGTTTCTTGTTTCTTCTCCGGATAGCAATGTAGGTAAACATGGTATTGAATTCTAATTTGACATCAATTCTGTGAACTTGTGTGGAATTTGATAATTTTGGGTGAACATAGATAAGTGTTTAGAAGATAAAGTGACGATGTAGTCTTAACTAATTACTCTTTCGATCTTATGAGAGAATACTGTGAACTTTTTTTTTCTTTAATATTTAGACATTTTTAATTAAAAAATATTTTTTTTTCCTTTTTTAGAAAAGAAAATTTTCTAGATTCTATTTGAAAAAAGAAAAGCCCAAGGCAACCAATGTTTTTGCTCCTTTTTTGTAGTCCAAAAGCTTTTGTCCCTTGCCTCCAATAGCGCTAACCTGTTTCCCTTCTTTTGGGCTCATTGTCTTGACGGTTCAAGATTTTAACATTCAATCCCAAGGGCCTAGAATGTAAAGATGAAGGCTGAAAGTTTGTTATGTGCAAAAATTACATCTTTAAATTTATCATTAGAAAAAAAAATTAATAAATAATACAAATAAATTTAGCATAAAAAAGTGACAATTTTACTTGTTTAAAATTTATTATTTAATTAATAAATTAAAAATAATATAAAAAGAGAGTGTTTGACAAAAATTATGAAATATAGTTGTACAGTTTTTGCTAAATATTTTGCATTTCTCAAAAAGAAATCTAAAGACTTGAATGAAAAGGAGAAAAGGTCAAAAAATCTAGAAATGAATCATCTCATGTCCCATGATCACTGCACCAAATTTTAGCCAGACAAATAAATATTATCATAATATTAAATGATATATTTTAATAAAAGTTAAGATTAAACAATGCATTGCTCTTGTATGAAACTTCACGTGAGAGAATTTTGTTCTTAAAAAATTTGCACTATTTCGCCCACTAACTGCACTTTATTTTTTATGGTCAAACATATTAATACGTTGAACATCCAAATGTGTTATGATTCAAGTATGGTAAATGATAAATTTATGATACTGATGGTAAAGTTTATTAAAAGAAATATATTTATTATATTTTTATGAATTGAATACAATAAAATTATTATTATTTAATAACAAATTATTGCTTTTAGATATTTAAAATCAGTTATAAAAATTAAGATTAGAAAAATTATAATTTTATATAAATTTTGTTGCATCCAAACTTTAAAGCTGAAATTAAACATTTAAAATTAAAAAAGGTTTTATTAAGAAAGTTTCAATTTATTATATGAATTTATAAAAATATAATAAATATTTTTTTAATTAAAATTCATTATTATTAATTGTTGAAGCTAAACTTTAAAAATTAAAGTTAATATTTTCTTTTTATATACAGTCTTGTAATCTTGAGTGTAAAATAATAAACATTACAAGAAAATACTATTTTTATTTTAAAAATATAATGTTAATCATGATACTAATGCTAACGTTTTAAAAGCATCAGTTTCATACACTTAAAACTAAAAATAATAATAAAATTATGGTGGCCAAATCAAAGCAAAACCGACCAAGCTTAACAATGGTTAGTGTCAGTTAGATTAACAGTAAGTTGGTGTTTCTTTTTTAACTTATAATAAAGTTTCAGTTTAAATATTTTTTTTAAAAGTTCTTGAAAAAAATATAAAAATAAATAAAATTTATGTTAAAAATAATTTATTATTTAAAATTCTAAAAAATTAAATAATAAAATTTTCTAAAACAAAAAATATAAGTTATTTTTTATGATAAAAATTTTATTTTTATAAAAATTCAAAAAATTTACCCAAATAAACTTAATTGATTAGTTTGAATAACACTTAGCGTTACTAAGACTTGAACACGAGACGGCTTATTAAAACTAAACAACACTTATTAATTCATCCACTTTAAATTTTTAATATGTAATATCAAACACACAATAAATAAAATGCCGTTTCTTATTTTACTTCAGAACATAGGAAATAACGATGGATACCTAATCACGTAAAGCTCGTTTTACCTTTACAACAAACTTACCATTGGGAAATTACCACTCTGACCTTCCTCACTTCACATTGTTCATCACTTCACTCGTCACCTCAAGTTATTCATCGAATCATTCAAAGGAACAGGTTATTCTTCTAATTTTTTATTGGAAATTAATAAGAAAGCTCTAACATGAGTGGGGCCAATCCCTGAAAAAATATATATGCTTGGACAATGCACTAGTGTTACCACTCACCACTCCAGCCACAAACAGTAGGATTGCTTTGGAGAGAAACAAAAATGGAGGGAGAAATCAACAATTTCATAATGGTATGGAGCATTGCTGTAGCAATAATGTGCTATTGCCATGCAATTGGGAAATCAATCTCCCAAGGTGCCTACAGACTCATAGCCCTCTTACCAGCCATAGTGCTACTCCTTCTCCTCCCCCTGAGGCTCCTCTCCATTCACCTTGGAGGGCCTTCTAGTTTCTTCTTAGGTTGGCTTGCCACCTTCAAACTTTTACTGTTTGCCTTTGGCAAAGGTCCTCTTTCTTCAGACAACAACAATGCCCCTCTCTCTTTACCTCATTTTGTTTCCCTTGCATGTCTACCCATCAAATTCCAACACCAACCCACTAACACTAACCCTCCAAAATCACAACTTTCCAAATTTACCCACAAATCCCTCCTCAATTTTGCTTTTGCCTCCGTGGCTATCATACTTGCCACCCTGATTCCTCTTTATGGAAAGCAAGAATATCTTCATCCAAAATTCGTACTTTTCTTGTACAGCATCCACATGTATATTGGACTGGAGTTTTGTTTTGGGTTAACCTCCCTATTCACTCGAAAGCTTCTTGGAGTTCAGCTAGACCCACAGTTCAACAAGCCTTACCTGGCTTCCTCTCTACAAGACTTCTGGGGTAGAAGATGGAACATGATGGTAAACCGTATCTTGCACCCTACCGTATACGATCCGACGGTGGATTTTGCACAACGCTTCATTGGAAGAAAGTGGGCCCCACTACCTGCTGTTCTCTCTACTTTCGCCGTATCGGGGTTGATGCATGAGGTGGTTTTTTATTACTTAAAGAGGGAGAAACGCACGTGGGAAGCATGGGAACCCTCGTGGGATGCCACCTGCTTCTTCCTCATTCATGGAGTGTGTGTGGCCATTGAGATTGCCCTGAAGAAGGCACTTAAGGGGAAACAGCAGTTGCCGAAAGCACTTTCAAGGCCACTCACTGTGACTTTTATATTTTACACCGGGTTGTGGTTGTTTTTACCAGCTTTGGTTCGATGTCGTGTTTATGATAAGGCAGTTAGGGAATTGAGGGCTTTTACTGAGTTTGTTCAAGGATATCTGCCATGGATATTCTAATGTCACTGGCACATGAATATTGCTTTTCAGAAAAGCCCCAATAAGATTGTTGATTTATTGGTCAACTCTTGAGTTATGGAAATCTTAAAAATATCAATATTAATTTAATCTTCTTTCTTTCGATGCTGCTTCTCCTCTTCCTTCTGTAGTTTTCGGGTGCTTCATTGACAAGATTTAACATTCACATCGTCATTCTATTAAGTATTGTGGTAACTGATAAAAGGATAATTCAATACCTTCACGTTACTAACACAACATTTAATTTATTAAATATTGTAGGTTTAATTATATTTTTGTTTTTTCTAAATATAACATGTTTTGTGAATAGTTTTTATAAAAAAAAATTATTTTTTTAAAATATTAAAAAGATAATTTAGTCTATATTAAAAATTCCTCTTTTAGTAAATACTAACCTAATTCTTTATGAACCAGCTCATTAATATTGTTATGTATTGCTGTGTCATTTATTATTTTATTATTTAAAATTAATATTTATAAATAAATTTATCAATATATTTTAAATATTTATAAAAAAATTTAAAATTTTAATTTCTTTCATTTCAACCTTTTTTTTTCTTTTCTCTTTATTCTTGTTAGTTTCAGGTGTTTAATCGATAAAATTTATACATTTATATTATAATTTTTAATAAGATTTAAGTCCTTTAAACTGGTATTAAAATAGTTGATAAACTTTCTAAATAATAGAAGAAGAATAAGACAAAAAAAAATATGTGAACTTTTTATAAATATTTAAAATATATTTAGAATTTGTTTATAAATATTAATTTTAAATAATAAAATGTTAAAAAATTAAATAACATAATAATACGTAAGAATAAGATAATTGACAATATTATTTAATTTTAATCCTAACTTCTTAATATTAAAAGGACTAAATCTTAATAAAAAATTTGATAAAAATTTATCATAAAATATAATATATTTATAAAAACGAAAAAAAAATTAAGCCTAAATTGTTTTAAAAAATTAAATAGCAGTAAGATAAAAGTGCTAAGCTATCGCTTTCTAAGACTAAGTTATTAGAACAAAAGTGGACGGGATAAACTAAATTTTAACATTTAATGTTTTATGATTAGATATTAAAAAAATTATCAAAAAATATATTAAAATTGTATTTAAACTTAAAAATTCTTCAAAATAATTTTCCCTTATCAATTTGAAGATTGGAATATTCTTGCTCTCACTGTTTCGTTTCCCATCCCAGATTGACAGTATAAAATGACAAAAGATCTGTCTGGGCTGTTCTAGATTCACGCATGGTTAAGTGGGCCAGCGTGCATCTCTGCAATGGAGAATAAATGGAATTACCTTTTTATTTTTCAAATTTTTATGTAATTACATGATCAAACTCAAGTTTAAAATTATTATTATTATTATATTAAAAGTTAATCTATTAGTTAAATAAAATCATTGATATTTAATTAGAAATATTTTAATTTGACAATTACAGTAAATTAGTCTAAAAACTATTTGTTAAAATAATATTATCTAAAAAAGGTTATTAAAATAGATGAATATGACATTATTTAAAAAATATGAAATAAACAGACGTAATCTATCAAAATGTAACGTAAGTCATGATATTTTATACAAGAGTAAGGTTAAAATATATTTTTATACATTTTTAATATATATTTTTATTATTTATTAAAATTTATTAAAAATATAAAATATAAGAGATAAATATTAAATTAAAAATAAAAAAATAGTGTAATTCATACATTTTTAATAATTTGTAATTAATAATTAAAAATTAACTAAAAATGTATTAAAAATATATGTATTTATCTTTTAAATACTTTCAAAAACGTAATATACTTGCGTCGGACACATGTTATAATTTAACATTTGTCTTTTTTTTCTCGCCATATTAATTTTTTAATTATTTTCACGTCTAGTGAATCATAATATTAATGTTTGAATTTAAAATTATTTTTTTATTTTTCTCTTGAGGTTTCTAAAATTAATAATTTTGAGTTCAAGCTTAATTCTCGGTGGAATAAAAATTTAAATTTTGATTTTGAATTTTTATTAAAATAGAAGAAAATTTAATATTCAATTAAAGAAGGAGACAAATTAAAAATTCAGTTTCAAATTGAGAGAAAAATTATATTTAAAAAAAAAAAAGCAACGTATCAAAAGCTAACCCGCATTACACTCAAATGTGTAGTGCCTACTTTTTGGCTCAATACTATTTTAATATGGTTAAATTTACTGATTTTAATAGTTTTTTTAAAACAATAATATTCAGATATATAATTTTAAAATTACGTCACTGTAATAAAAAAAATCATATGAACCCTCTCTCCCACCCAATTCAATGTTTTGCAATTCAATACTTGTTTAGATTAGTTTTGTAAGAAATCATTTTTTAAAATTTTTTCACAAATTTGTTTAAATAAAAAACTTAATTAAGCATCCATTACTAATTTGATACATTGAATTTTTTTAAATAATTGCAAAACACACATACGAGAGTAAGATTGTTACTTCAGGTGTTAAATTTTGAATAATCACATATTTAATATGTTTCTAAAAAATATTAATATAATTATTGAGTTATATAATACTATATTAGTAATAACCTATATTAAGTTTTATAATATTAATATGTCAAAAACTAATAGATATTTTTTATATTTTAAATAATATATTATAAATAAAAATTAAAACACATAATAAATATTAAATTGTTTATTCTTTAGGAGTGAAAAGTTAAAAAATATATATAATAAATTGTTTGTCAAGTCACTAAAAAAAATTAATACTTTTATTTATAAATATATTTAAAAAACTTTATCAGAGATTGAAACGTGGCTTTTTTATATATTTTTTAAATAATGTACACTGAAATATTGTCTGAAACTAGCAAGCACTTAGGAGAAAAATTAAAAAAAAAAATTCAAAATCGCTAATGTTATTTTTGAAAAAATAGTCATCAATTTTTAAATAAAATTAATTAATTAATCAAAAATTTAAAATTCCTAATAGTAATTTTTAAAATTGACTTATTTTCTAAAAATTGTTGACGATCAATTTTTAGTCTCATATTTTTGCAATTTCTGTTCAAAATCTCATATTTCTGGATAAAATATCGTCAAATCCCATATATAAATTATTATTTTTTAATTACTGCCATTTTTTTTAATAAAACATTTTTTAAAAAGGTTCCAACAGGCATTAGGTAAAGTATTTAATAAGTATTTATAAAATTTACTCGCAACAAATGAGTAAGGTATTTATTTAGGGTTTAGGGTTTATTTACTAAATAAGTACAAAAATGTGTATGAAAAAATATTGGTAAATCTTAATAAGGATGAGTGCGGATATAAGTATAAAGTACTCACCTCCACTCACTCAGGGATGACAATGAATATCGTTGAGTATTTGAGCTTATCTACTCTAACCTTACTCTCATTCTTATCATCTTTAACACTCAAATCTATTGCAACAATAATAAATTATTAGAGCTAGTTGTTAGAACTGTTAAAGATATCACCCATTATGCAAATCTATGGAAAAAGTGAAAAGTTTAGTTGAAAAGTCCAATGAGATAGAAATGGATTTGAATATGTTTAATGTTAACAATTTTCTAAGTGATTATAATTTATCAACAAATGATATGCAATTAAAGTCTGAGTTGAATCTCTACTGGAAAGACAAGATCTTGCCTAGAGATGTTATTTTTTATATCCTTATGTGATGGAAATCAAATGGAATCAAATATCCATTATTGCTAAAATTTACCAAAGATATTTTGTCCATCTCAATTTCAACAATTTCTTCAAAATTTACTTTTAGCACTAAAGATAAATTGTTAAGTACTTATCATTCTCAATTTCAATAGAATATACGTGTACAAAGTTTGTTGAAACATGAAAAGAAAGTATTGAATATATTAATATATTTATTCAATTAAATGTGTTTGATAGTTTTAAATAGATAGCTTAATTATTGATTTTCTTGTTATGTACTTGTGCGTTATAGTTTCTATTAGTAGATCAAACCAATATATAAACTTAAAAGATAAGTGCTTAAAATAATTTGAAGACTCTAATTCTAATAAAAAGATAAAATAATTTAACTATTTCTATTATTTTGATTTTATAATAAATAATTAACTAACATTTTTTTTACATGTATTAAAGAGTACTAGTACAAAACTCTCAAGTTTATAAGTTTGTTGTTTTAGAAGATATTAAAGATTATGTGTGTTTGATTTTACTTATAATTTTTAAGTACTTTAGTTTAGAAAGTTAATGTATTTAGATACATTTATTTTCTTAGACAAACACAAGTAATTGATGCAAGTATAACTATGCAAATACTTAGCAAGTACATATATAAAATTTAAAGTAACATAATACTTTACCTATTATCATTCTTATTGGTGTGACTCAATCTTTGCTTTAAATTTACGTTGGAAAGTCACCATGTTTGCATATTTATTTATACATCACCATTAAATCAATTTTCTTTTAAAAATTTCATTTATGGTTTCAAACTGTCAAAAGAGAAGTGTGTAACCCATACTGTTATATTTCTCTACACGTGTATAGTTAAATATCTTTTTCAATTCAATGATCAGATTATTTTTTAAAATAATATTAACAAATAAATCGTCAACAACAGTGTGTTTATCAAAAAATAAAACAAAATAACCATCAATAATGCAAAATTTATGTGTAATTTATTTGACAATTAAGGATACAAAATTCAATTTAGAGATTCATATGCACTTTTTTTTATAAAAAATTCAGTTATTCAGGATGTTTCCGGGAGAAACATTTTCCTACTTTTATAGTTTATAGTTAGTGACACAAATAAGATATTGATTATTTTAGTTTGAATTTTTCATCATCCGAAAAATCCATTCAAGTCGACTTATTTTGAGTCAAGCTACCTCATGAAAAAAATTTACTTTCTAAGGTAAAAAACAGTAGGTATTAGAATAATTTCTGATTATATAAATTATATTTAATAGAAATAATAGAAATAAATAATATATATATATATATATATATATTCATACTAAGTGTCAAAATTGAATATTTATACATATTAATAATTTCTTATATTTTATATTATTTTTATAATTATATATAACACATTTTACATAATTTAAATATTTATAAGTATATTATTTAAATTTTAATATTTACCTATATTTTAAAAACATAATATTCATTAAAATAAAGTAATGTAGTAAAATACTAATCAATTTTATTTTTGTATAAAATAAAATTGATATATTTAATAAAAATCTTCAAGTTAACAGTTGTATTAGTAAATCTTGCATTTTATAAAGATTTATTAGTAATATAAATATTCAAATTTAACATTCAGCATAGATCCTAAATGTGTACACTTAAATGAATATGCAAAATTATAAAATATATGGCTTAATGAATTTTATTTACTGTAAGTAAAAAACTATTACTTTTATTATTTGTTAAGTTTAAAAATAATAAAATTTTTAAATAAAATAAAAACAAAAAAAATTGAATTTAGTTTTAAAATGAAATTTTCACATTTTTTTTAATCAAACAAACATTCTTATTCATATTTTTGTTTCTCTTCATTTTTCTATTTCCAACTTTTATATTTCCCTAATGCTTTGCGCTGAACCAATATAAAAGTGTTTTTATCAATTAATCTTTTAAAAGATAATGAACCCACTTGCATAATTTTCATATTAATAAATAACATAAGAATATTCAAATTTGAAAATAACAGGTATCTAATAGGAATTATATTCTAGAAATTTTATATATTATTTGTATTTACTCATCTATTTATAAATATATGCAAATATTGTTAAATTCACAAATTAAATACTTTCCAAAAAAAATAGATTATGAAAGTTCTGTATAATAAAATTAGATAAATACGAATCAATATTCTCATTTAACAAAAAAATAATAAGATTTTGTTAGTCTCAATCCTAAGATAAACAGATAATAATAATAAAATATTACTATAAAAAATTATTTATTGTATTTTTAAAATTTTGATATAATAATTATATATTTTATTCATAAATATTTTTTTATTTTTAGATACTTAACTTCAAACATAAAAGTTAAAGTTAACAAAATCTAAAATAATAATACCTTTAAAGCACTAACTAAATAATAAAAAATAATAAAATTATATTAAAACAGATTATTAATACACTTACTTCCTGCATAATTTTAATATCAAAATCTTGATTAATATCCTTCGCTTATAAATTTATCATAAGAATAAGGATTTTATAAAACTAAGACAGGATATTCAGCTAACAATTATAAAATTTTATTAAAAAAAATATTTATTATATTTTTATAACTTCAATACAATAAATATGTATTTTTTTTTTATTTGCATATGCTTAAATTGGATCGAAGGATTGAGGTTACCAAAAACCTGAGAATAATTCTTTGTTGATTGACCTTGTTTGCTTAAAGGATAGCGATGGCATATTGTGCAAACCAAGAAAGCCAGTAAATGTGGTGTTTAATTGCAAGGTCAACCAAGAAATTAAATGCTTCCTCACTATCGATGCCTAGTGTGAATCTGAGTTCTTTCATTCCCACCAACGTTTGCCAAATTTTATTATATGTGGAAGTGAAGAACACCGCAGAAACATTCTAGTTCCAATGGAGAGGAAGAAGCACATAGCAATAGTCCAAGCACAAGCTATTTTGCTGATTATGTTGATGGTGGCTTCACCTATCATGAGTAGTTGTCCACCCACAGATGGACGTGGCTGCAAAGACTGCATCATAAACCAGATGAAAAAGGCTTGTCCATCATGCACGCCAATCCTCCACTGCATGGCTCGGTGCTTGTGGGATGGTAACTCAAGGTCCCATTGCAGCAAGAAATGTGACAGCAACAATGGCTACCCAACTCTCTCTGACTGCAAGAAATGCATGTCCAAGTGCAAGTGCAGCTGCGTCAACCAGCACCTATCTCCTCCACCAAATTAGTACTTTAACTTATATATAAGCAAATCCAGTAGTTGATGTATCTTATAATCTTGCTCTTGTTCTGCATTTTTCTTCTTCATGTCGTAGTAATAATTTGAAATGCAACTGCTTTAAATATCTTTGTTAAGAAGTATTGAATCGGTTTAGAACAGAGAGAGAATACTCCTTATAATAATAATAATCTAAATTCCTTACACAATATTCATTTCAATGCCTTGTATTTACTATAGCTACCTAAACTGATGCACAAAGATTTTAAGGTAGGTAACTTAAGATATCCTATTATACAACAGGTTACAGTAGTGTACATGTATATGTAAAAGGGGTGAATTAGGGTTCACGAAGAAACCTTTGAAGGCAGCGAAAGCCGAGATTTTGAGCACAAAATTTTTCCATTTCATCGCCACCTCTTTCTCTACAGACACTTTCTTCCATGTCTGCTATGAATTCGTCCCAATTCTTGATGGAGCACCAATTGCATTCATCCACCTTGGATTCCGAAACAGAGTCAAGTATCTCCTGCAGGCCAACGATCCGACGGGTCACCTTCCTCCGAGCCTCCCTCACCGTTGGATCGATTCCAGGGACGGAATCGAGCTTGAGCAAGAGAGCCATGAGGGCTTCGTTCATTCGAAGTTTCTCGAGGTGGTTGGTGCGGACGGCATCGACGGTGTCCTGGCGCTGGATGAGGCGCTGTAGCTGGTCGGCTTCGGAATCGACGGCGGAGATTTTGCGGTAGAGGGTGCGGATCCGGTGGGCCCGGTAAGCGGATTGGATGGTGAGAGCAGCGTGGGATTGGGATTGGGGAGGGAGCTGAGTGGAATTGGTGGATGGAGGAGGGGTAGTTTGGTCATTGTGGTAGGTGTAGGTGACGGTTGAATATGAGGAGAAGAAGCCTAATTTGGAAGAGGGTTTCATGGGAAAAGAGGATTTGAGAGTCAGCGATTGCAGACAGTGAGTGAAGTGAGGGAGATGGGAAATAGGTAATGAGAAATTGAGAATGGGCTTTGTTTCTTAGTTAATGTTGAATGATGTTGGCGCGTAACATGGTTTTAGGTGTTGTTTTATGATGAGGGACCCCATGCTCGTTTTAAGACAAAAGGACTTGCCTTTCTACCTCTTTATTCATATTCAGGTTTAAATTCAAATACTGTGTTGGGCGCTTTGTTTGACTTTAAGTAGGATGATTTTGTACAATGCAATCATCTTATTTCCGGTATATGTCATCTTCTATAAATTATTTTTAAAAAAATAATATTTCAATGCAATCTTTCCTTATTTTTTATTTTAAAAAATTAAATACTAACAACAAAGTCTTTTTTTACCCTTGATGAAATCGGTTAGATACTCCATAAAATATTATTAAACTTAATTAAAAATTCAGTTTTTAAATATATTATTTATCATAAAACCACTTTTAATAATCTTTTAAAATTCTTTTCAGTCTTCCTCTATATTTTTTTACAGAACTAAAAATTATATAATACTCTTCCTTAGCATCTCTAATATAGTCTAAATTGCAAATATCCACACTACTTTAATTGCTAAAATTATTATCTCTTTAAAATATATATTTTCAAACTTTAATAAAAATACCATCAGAGGTTACCATTCTAACTCGAATTTTGCAATAGCATTTTGATATTTTACTTGAATTTTTAAACCGTTTATATTACCAAATCCTTGTCCATAGTTGAAAAATACATTTATAAGAAAACATCATCGTAGCGGTGACGCCTAACTAGTCAATCTGTTTTGTTGTCGTTGAACCAGGTCACCAGGGAAAAGGAATCCTATAAAATGTACTACTATGACCTAAGTGAACGTCATAGTCAAATAGTATATTTCAATGTTTGATGATCCACACTCTAGCCCTGAAAAGAAAATTATGGCCCTCATAAAAGCCAATTTTATTAAATCCACCGCTGGGTTTACACACACACACACACAAAAGAAAACACTTATTAATCCATATGCGGAAATGAGCCCAGCTCAGGTTTCCGATTGTACAACTTCAACATCTCTCCCATCCCACCACAACTAAGAGCATGGAATAATGCTGCTGTCCTCAGGGAGCTGCGGGAACAATCTTGCCCGAGCAATTACCGAACCCAACAGTGTAACCATTTCCCTGCAAAGCAAGAATTTTACATCTTATTAAAATTCTATAAGTTCTACAACTAATAAATGTCCCATCGTACTATAAATTTGTAGTGTGCAGAACTTTCAATGTGATCATCAAGAAAAGTGACAAACATGCCTCAGCTATAAACAAAATATGTACGGCACATCATTTTAAAACAGTTTCAGCATTCCAATTTACGGGGGTGCTGGGGTCAGAAGACTCAACCACAATCCAAGTATCTTATGATGTGGATCTATATTTGTGATTTGTGACCCTATTTGAGGCTGCGTTTGCAGCACCAATCCACCTGTTTGGAAGGCACAGACAGGATTTGAAGCAGTTTTCAACTTGTTTGGAAATGTTTGGTGAATGTTTCAAATGGAAAAATGTGGCCAAACTTGATTATAGCACAAGCAACTATTATGAAACTTTTGTGTTGGGTTGAAAATTTTCTACTGTTTCACTGCCAAATTGCTAAGACAGTATTTTCAGAACATAAATGATTTCATTCCAAATTCAATCTAAGCTAAAATCAAAATCAATTTTGATGACACTCACAAACACACTGACTCTTCAGTTATAAAAATGTTAGAAAGTACAGCTGTTCATGAAGTTCGTGTCAAAATAACATTCTTAAAGACTAAACTAATTAATAATGGAGTAATGAATTGCTTAAAATTGGCAGAAGTGAAAACAATAGATAACAGTATTGCAAATTGAGAAATTGTTGACAATGATATTCTTTAGGAAATTTGTCAACAAGTAACTAAATTCACAGAACTGTTGCAGCATTTCAGATCTGGCGGCACAAGTAATTAGGTGATTAGAGAAACTAAATTAGCAGTGATTTTTTGTGTGTGTGTTCCTTTCTAGTTTCTATCGGTCCCATATGCCAGTCAAGGGTTTGAAATTCGTTTAATTTGAACAAGTTAAAAACTTGAAGGGGGGGAGGGGGGATTGAAAACAGAGAAATTTCTAATGAATAATTGAAAAGACAACAGCAATTTTGAAAAACAGAGGCATTGAATATCTTAATTGATTGTAACCTTGCTACATCCAGTTAAGATGACTTCATCTCCATCTTCAAGAAATTTCCGATTTAATCCATTCAAGGACAGTGTGTTTTGTCCATTCCACGTTAACTCTAGCAAGCATCCACGGGACTCTTGCTCCTGCAGTGAAAGGCACACATTTTAACTGAAGCTAGTTGAACAGTTGATAGGAAACAATTCCTTGAGAGTGAAACAAAAAACAGGGATCAAAAAGTTAGAAAGCATAAAGTATTAAATCTTACAGGACCACTAATTGTTCCAGTTCCAAGGAGATCGCCTGGCCTCAGGTTGCAACCATTGATCGTATGGTGAGCAAGTTGTTGGGTCAATGTCCAATATCTACAAAGTAAGAGAACTAGAATAAGTGCATCTTTATGCATAAAAGTTTCCAAGTATAAACTTTCTATTAGGGAGGGACAGGCAATTATCAAATGGAACCGAAAGATTAAGAAAACCTACTTGTGTTTAGTGTACCAAGGAGAATATAGCACCAAACACAAATAAAACTATACACAAAATAATACATACAAGTTGCAGGACAGTCACTTTTTTAAATCAACAATGTCATCACAATTGCTTTCAAGGTACATGACTGATTTTATATATGTAGCAAGGAAATAATAAATAAACAGAATTATTAATATTAGTTGAAGAGAAATTCCTTACAAGTGCTTTAGATTACTCCGTGTCACTACACTCGAAACTTCATGCCCAGCAGGTTTAAGATAAACCTAGCAGCAAAAACCACTATTTGATTAACTTGATAGTTCAAAAAAATAATTGTATATCATCTACGAAAAAGGAGCATTAAGATAAAAAGAGCCTATTTCAAATACAGTATATAAGGACCATGAAGAAATAGCATAAATCTGAGATACAACTTACAAGAGGAAGAAATATTTTGTAAGAAATACTAAGTACACATGCATATAAAGGTGGCCTGAAATACCTCTAGGGAAATATCATAGTTTTTGGATACTTTTTCAGTCAAGTATGGAAGTGGAGGAGGATCCTGCATTTTATAGATAGATTAAATAGCATGCTATGGTTATTATGAACTTCAGACATGAACAACCAAATTATAAAGTTCCTACAAGGTCAATCTCCAAAGAAAGAAACCAGTTACCTGTTTTGGGGCTTCACAAGCAAAAGGTTCTAATGCTTCCAAGGTCACAATCCAAGGTGATATTGTTGTGCCTATATAATTTTAGTTACACACCATGAAGGAAGGTTAACTCCAAAATAGAAGTATAAGATGATAGTTTCTATCTCGAAAAAAATGGTACATGTAATTATCCACGTCAGATACTGCACAAGCCCAAATGCTCAGCTTTTCTCAATAGAGCTTTAAAAATATGAAGCAATTAATTGAAACATCTTACCAAAATTCTTTCCAAGAAAAGGGCCGAGAGGAATATATTCCCATGCCTGAATATCTCGAGCTGCCAAAGACAATTCAGCAAAGCATCAGTTATTGGGCAGAATAGCATAAAAGAAAGATAATTGAATTGGAAAAATACCACTCCAATCATTCATAAGAACAAGTCCAAAGATATGATCTTCAGCATTGTTAATATCCACAGGTTTTCCCAATTCATTTCCAGGTCCAACAATAGTTGCCTGCAAGTAAGATATCTAACCTTGAGACTTCTATTTCAAAAATAAAACTTTACATATGGATTTTAGCGAGTAAAATGGCCAAAGAAGATCTATGTAAACAGAAAGCTAACCATTTCCAACTCAAAGTCAAGCTTTAATGAAGGGCCAAAGTAGGGTGTTGAGCCACCAGTTGGCTGAGCTTGACCTCTGAATAAGCACATAGTATAACATTGTGAGATAGAATGCCGAGGCAGCAGAGCAATTAAATACATACTGTCTACAAAAAGGAACTAGCGGCTGTGCTCCTTGAGTGCTTCTATTTTAATGGGTATATGACACTGGAAGATTGACATGCAGAGCCATATCGTTCCCATAGTTCACTACGAGGGTATCAAGAAGAGCTTGTTTGAACTTATGAAAGTGACTTGACTTTCTTATAAACTCATGTTAGCTTATTGCAGTCAGCTTTTCTGCCAAGCTGAAAAATAAGCTTTAATTTTGTAAGGGTTTGTTAAATGAGTGCATAATTAAGAAGTTAACGTAAATGTGCCCTATATATGCTAGAGCTATAGACATTCAATACAGAGCTTTCCTTGTTAATAAAAAAATTATTGATGGGAAATATCTTTATAAGTTCATAAACATAAGACCTACACAGAAGCTGCATAAGCACATGAAATCAGGGCTACATAGCAGTACAATTAGGTCTCCAACCTTGGTCGAACAATATCAGTTCCAGAAATAACAACAGAAGATGCTCTTCCATGGTAGGCAACAGGCAGGCGATACCTTCGAAACAAGTTTAACATTTTTTAGTACTAGAACAAATTACTATTTACACTCAGTTGATTTGTAAAGCATTTTAAATCAACGCACCAGTTATCTAGAACAGGAGTCTGCGGTCCACGAAATATGACCCCGCAATTTTTGGTGTGATGCAGAGAGCAAAAGAAGTCAGTGTAGTCCCCAACAACAACAGGGAGAAGCAATTCCACACTACTCTGAAAATGCAAAGACCAAAATCATTAAAGAAGTGACAAACACGACACAAGCACTTTAAAAAAACAAATCAGGAATACCAATGTGCACTACCAAAGGCACAAGGGACTTCTCCCTCAAAGTCGCATTGTCCCTCAAGGTTGGCTCAGTTGCTGCATTAAAAAACAACCCAATTGACATAAGAACCAAGCATTGCAGCTCATACAAACTTTAACATGCATGTACATCCTAATAAGTAGTACAGCGTAAAAACATAAAAAGAAGAAAAAGGTAAACAATTAAACAGAAACAACGCAATGTTGTATTGTATCTACCTGATAACAGCTTTTGAAGAGTGGCACGAGCTTCCTTCCACGCTGGCCTTCCAAGGGATACAAACTTATTTAGATTGGGCTGTCACAGAGATATATTATAGGAAGCAGTTAGAGCAGAGGTTTCCATTTCCTAAACCCACGAGGTAACAACGTAAGACCTTGTCTTAAAAAAATGATAATTTTTTTTAGAGAACCACACTCTTTTCAACACCCACTCAATTATTGGTAAAAGTTTTTAAAAATTATAAAAGTACAAGAAAGAAAACTTAAACTATGACCGATAATTTAATTAAGTGTGATTTTAAATAAATTTTAGTTAATAATTAAGAATGGCCAGATATGAGAGTGTGATTATTGCATTTCTCAAAAATAAATACAATGTTGCATGATGCAAAAGGAGGGGAGTAAAAATGTTCATCCTAATATTAAGGTACCTTCTTCCCTTTCCTCCGGTTACTCAGGGACATGCAAAGACTGTGATAAGTCCAGAAATTACAAAATCTTAGGCCAACCAAAAAAAGGTGAAATCCTTTTTTTTGAAAAAAAAAAACTTTGAAGTAACCCAATTGATTACTTGGTTGAATTAGTGAAACTCAGTTTGAAGCTGAGATTTTGGAGTAGAAAAAAATGCAGAGAGGAACGTGGGGGAGTAAGGAAGTTACCTGGTTGAAGCAATCGGAGTTGTTGAGGAGAGGGCCATCGAAAAGACCAGCAGAAGCGATCTCGGAAAGGTCGAGGACGTAGTCGCCGATGGCGACGCCGGGACGAGGAGATGAAGTGGGTTGGGGCTTGAAGACTCCATAGGGGAGGTTCTGTATAGGGAAGTGAGAATCTGGGTGAACCTCAATGAAAGACTTTAGCAGAGCCATGTACGATGATTTTGCTGAAGCTGATGTCAACGATAGAGAGACACTCAGAATGAGAGTGAACCAGGACGTTGAGTGTCTTATTTTATAGATAGGTAAGAAATAACAAAATATTCAACACTTTTGGCTTTTTCGCTTAGGATTTGTTTCGTTTTTTTTTTTTTTTCATTTTTTGGTATTGAGTTTAAATATAATAACTTTTTACTATAATGTTTTTTAATATATAATTTTTAAAAAATAATTTTTTATTATTGTATACTTAAATTTAATTTGAAATGTTGAAATTAATATTTTTTTTATGTGTTTCTTTGATCATAGTTGAGTTGCCGTGCGGTTGTTGAGAATGGGATCAGGGGGTAGCTACCCAATAGCTCCAACTACCACCCGTGACTCAAAACATCCGCCCCTTGAATTATACTATTATAGTTATAGTTATTTGTTTTGCATAATTATTAAAGTGTATTTTAGTATTTAAAATATTTAAAATATTACTTTAATTTCTGGCTTGTATATTTATTAAATATTTTAGTCCCTGAATTAAAACATTATTAACATCAATAATAGAGTGATTCATGGGAAAAGAATGAGTTATCATTTTATATATTTATTTATTTTCTTTTACGGGTAGTCTTAATTTCTCTCGTGAAAAGGCACTCAACTCTAAAGAATCTCGTTGATTTTATTCCTTCAAATATGACGATATTGGATAATTAGAAAATACTTTATTCAAACACTAAAACTAACTTCAGACATGTTGCAATCAGAAGTATTGTTATTATGACCCCTTGGAACATGTATGATCACGATTGATACTATTTTTTTGTTCTATGATTATAAATGCAATGATGAGAACACTATTTTCTTTGTGACATTAAACAAGGTTATTAGATTTCTTCATCGGATAGATTTGGCATGCAAGCATTTGGAAAAATGCTTGTAATTGGAGTAAAATCAACATGTAAAGTGAATGGGTTGTGACCTATTTGTGGGTATAAAATTCCAAAACTTGTGATCCACGAATGTTATGACATGAAACTGAATGGACCAAAGTTGATATTTTGGACTAAGCTCAAAAGGAGTGTGTCAATCAAATGATTAAAGATTGTGAACCCTTTGAAGGTAAGGCCCTTAGATGCTTCATGCTTACTTGGGATTTAGAAAAGAAGTAGGGTTATTTGAGAAATAAAAGAAAAACTATGCAAAACGATGTTGTATATGCAAATTTAGCATTCACACATATCACTTGATATAATATATCAGTATTTTGTGACCCTTTTAATACTATAAGGGATAAAATGTCCAAAATAGATGAATTTATCTTATTTTGTTAAAAATTTACTATAAACTATTAAAAATCTATTATAAAATAGGTCAGTTTGTTTCATGTTTTTTAGAAAAAAAAAATACTACTGCACTTATAAATTTGAAAGAACATTATATTTCTTATTTTAATTAATAATTGTAATTCATCTAATATTTTAGAAATTAAATAATATTTATATATATTTTAAAAAAAATTACTAACTCAACTATTTATTACTATAAAATTAATAGTGTTAATTGTTCCACATATAAAATGATATAAAATATTTTCTTAATTTACAAGGCAAAGTAGAAATTACTTTCAAAAAATGAATTTAATTTGTTAGCCTTACTAGTTTAATGATGGATTGACGAGCAATATATAATCCACAAAAAACTAAAAATAAAAAATTAGTGGGCTAATAAATTAATAGACTAACCAATCTAAAATTAACATAAAATAAAAAATACAAAAATGAATAAAAAACATTTTTATATTAATAAAATTAATAAATTATTTAAAAATTAAAAAAATGGACTTGACAAGCTAACTTGCCCCAATCCGCTTTTAATTTGCATTTTGACAAATTAAAATGAGACAAACAGGCAAACTAACAAATACAAAATATTTGTTTGACCCTTTATTTATAACGAGTTAGACTAGTCAAACTTGTCACAAATGACTTACTTTGACATTTTTTATTAACGAAAATAAAAATAAAAACATTGTGATAGGTAGGTATCTAAGCAAGAAAATTTTTGTGACAAAGTACAATAAAATAATTATTTAATTTTATTAGATTTTATATTTTTGTACATATTATTTATAATTATAAGATTAAGTTAAAATATTTTTTAAAAATTATCATTTGAAATATTTTTATTATATAAATCATTTTTAAAATATTTATTTTAATTATTAGATTATATAAATATTTATTCTAAAATAAAATATAAGTACGTAGAACTAAACTAATAATAATAGAAAAAAAAACGCTAACACATCTAAAACAATTTGACCTTAACTTATTTTAAAATTTAAACATAATTGAACTAGACAAGCTGAAAAGGAAAAATGTATATTTTTTTAAAATCATGCTGTAAAAAAAAAAGAAAAGAAAAAAGAGTGTGATATACTTCTTAAAACTTTTCTCTGTATTGTTATTAGTCAGGAGAATTTACCAGTATTAATATACAGAAAGTTTTTATTAAAAAATAAATCGAATAAGTAACTTAAATCAGTAAATATTTGTATCGTGTTATTTTGATAAATCTATTTGATAAAAAAAGCAAACATTGGTTTCATGGCTGCTTCGTAATTCTGCCAGCAGAAGCTAATAAAAAATTCTGAACTGAACTCTGAAACGGGAACCCTAGAACTTGTGTTTTTGTCGGAATCGGTAAACATTGTCTCTGGTTTTTGGTTTTGAGACGCCGAGGAATGTCGACGGACCTGCAATTGAAGTCGAGTTGTAGCGGATGCGGATCAACCACCGACCTCTATGGAAGCAATTGCAAGCACATGACTCTGTGCCTGAGCTGCGGCAAAACTATGGCAGAGAACCGCGCCAAATGCTTCGATTGTGGCGCCGTCCTCACTCGATTGATTCGAGTTCGATTTTTAATCCCTCACTTTTGCCCTTGTTGAATTTCGCATATTCCAATTTCGTTCTATTTGGCCTTAGCAAGCTAATTGATCACGATGTATTCGGTGTTTGGTGTGGCTGTTCATGACAGGAGTATAACGTTCGTGCAAGTTCTGCCAATGACAAAAACTACTTTATTGGAAGATTCGTGTCTGGTTTGCCTGATTTTTCGAAGAAGAAAAGTGCTGAGAATAAGTGGTGTCTGCAGAAGGATGGACTTCACGGACGCCAAATTACTGATGCTTTGCGGGTATTGAAATCTATCATTGCATCGTATTTAGCTAGAAGGGGTTTGCTTTAGAACAACATATTTATCTAAAGAAATGCTTACTGGAAAATTGGAAACTTGTAATACCTGACATATTGTTTTATCATGCTAATTCTATTTAGTATGTCATGGTAATGTCAAGTAGATGATTGTTGGGGATGTGAAAAGATGGTTTTGCATTAGCCATTACGGAAGTGAACAATTGCCAGTGAATTGTAATATGCGCGCGCGCACACACACACACACACTCTTATGCTCAAGCATAATTTCTTTTCATATTGCATAGGAGAAATACAAGAACAAGCCTTGGCTCTTGGAGGACGAAACAGGTCAGTCCCAGTTCCAGGGTCATCTAGAAGGTTCACAATCGGCTACATATTACCTGCTGATGAAGGAAAAGAAGGAGTTTGTTGCCATTCCTTCTGGTTCTTGGTATGCTTGTTATGCTAAGGACTGTGTTTGAGTGCAAGCAAATGCTCCTATGAAATTTGCTTGTTTTTCTTTTCCTTGGTTAATTTCCTATGTTTATTGTTGGTCAAAAGACAGCAGGCAAATGCATAGTATGATATGTTTATCTTTTTAGGTATAACTTTAACAAGGTAGCCCAATATAAGCAATTGACTTTGGAGGAAGCAGAAGAGAAGATGAGGAATAGAAAGAAAACTGCAGATGGATATCAAAGATGGATGATGAAAGCAGCAAATAATGGGCCTGCTGCATTTGGTGAACATGGGAAGCTTGATGAGAAGGAAAGCAACCCAGGTGGTGGGAGAAGCAGCCGAAAAAAAACTGGTGAGGATGAAGAAGGTCATGTATCTGATAAAGGAGAGGAGGATGAAGAGGAGGAAGCAGACAGGAAGAATAGACTTGGACTAAATAAAAGAAGTGGTGATGATGATGAAGAAGGGCCAAGGGGAGGGGACCATGATTTAGATGATGATGATGTTGAGAAGGGTGAGTATCTTGCCTTCTTGTTCATTATGTTTTTCAATAAAAAGGGTGGCAAAAGTTATCATTTTATTTCTGATTAGTTCTGTGCAGTGATGACCCATCTGCTATGCTACTGCATGCCATAGTTAATAAGAATAGACATATGGAACTGCTTAGGTGGGATATGTGAGGAAATAATTATTTCACTGTATAAATTATGTCTGTTAAATCTGATCCAATTCTAATGGAGTTTTTACTATGTCAATCTTTTCCAGTATCTAACTTGATTTCTTCATTGTTGTGACTTTTGTATCTGTTTACCCACTGGAGGATATTGCTTGGGAAGTAAAAAAAAAACAAAATGCTTCCACAAATCAAATGTAGGCTGCATATAGTTCAGGTTTTTAAGTGTTTGTTTTGGCTTTGGATAGAGCTAGCATTATAGAACTCGTATAGCTTGTCAATACTAGTGCCCACAAGTTTGCTGGGTGTGTGATTTATTGAGAGTTTTGAATTGTAAAAAATAATATAGTGCAGAAAAAATCTAATGAAAAACGTTTACAGATTACAAAAACTAACTCATGAGAGCAGCTTGTTGATAATTGACTGATTTAACAGTCTGTTAACCAGCAAGTAATGAAGTGATAGACACATGAGACTTGACTGTCTTCTGTCAAGAAAGCTTCAGTATCTCATTTGCAGCAGCTGTTGGTCTTATCCCATGTATATCATGTAATCGTAACACAGATTGGAAGATCCAACCTAAAATAGAAAATCATATTTAAATACATATATATGCATAAAAATAAGAGAAATAAGTCAAAATAACCTTAAATTACTAAGAGCCAAAACTTTAGGTCATAATTCCAAATTCAAAACCTCCCATCAGCAGCAGCATCACAGGTACTTCCAACTCTAGCAGCACCTGAACACCCATTGCCTTGACCTCCCTAGCAGCTCCTGTGCCACTTAGAGCATAATAAACAGCAGAACAGATTATAGAAGGAGTGGAAGACTGCAGAGAGCAGAAATTTGAATTCACGGTCCCAATGTAGAAACCAAACCAAAACAAGGAGGGGTTGAATCCACAAGAAAACAAATCAAGTTTTGGTCCCAAAAACAGAAGAACACCAAGCTGAAGTGCAGAGTGCCAAACCCAGAAGCAGAAGACTAAGGAGGGGTTTGTAACTTCTGTGTGCACAGGAGAAGGAAAAAAGATGAATAAGAGTGCCAAAATGAATGGGTTTTTGGCTTTAAACTAACATGTTGACTGAAAATGGGTTGTGTTGGATTTTTATTAAAAGAAATGGTTTTGAGTAGGATTAGAAAAATCGTTCGATCTTTCGAGTAAGATATTATGATCCTAGTGATCACAGCAAAACAAGTCAGAGAGTGTGATCGGGATTGCTAAGGCATGGCAAAATTATAAAATGGTACAATCTTTATGAGTAAAATCGTGATTTTAATTACCATGCTTTGAACGTCAGTCAATCGTGCACTGGACATGAAGCCCTGGATTATATAATGTCAGTGTATGAATTATTCCCAAATTTGAACTTAACATATTCTTGAACTAATGGGCAGAACTTCTGGGGGTAACTGATGAATTATGTTATCTAGGGTCTACGTAACAGTGTGTTGATTTCATAACATGATTAATTAGTTTGACTACATATTTATATAGTTGCAATGTGTTCCAATATTTAATCTTAAATTTGCCTGAATTAAGACTTGAAAGCATTAGCAGATGGTTTTTTTAAAGCATGCAAGCACAAGTTAAACCAATTTGTCTTATGAAAAACTTACAGGGATACTTAAACTAGTTTATGGTTATTCTTCTTCTGACTCAGTCATACATCTGTTACAGGTGATGATTGGGAGCATGAAGAGATTTTCACCGATGATGATGAAGCTGTTGGCAATGATCCTGAGGAAAGGGAGGATTTGGCTCCTGAAGTTCCTGCTCCTCCTGAAATCAAGCAGGTTAGTTTGCATTCCACAGATATTTGCGAATTGTGACCTAGAAGTTGGGTGTTTAATGGTGTTGTGTTTATTCATTATATTGCCATTTCTGTGTCTTAGCTCTTGCAATTGATGTTATATATTTGGTATGTATTCATTTATGGATGTCAAAATAATTGTGATACAATAGCTACAGCATTTTGTGCTTCCCTTTTATCTTGTCATTCTCAATGTTTAACTCATCTTTTGTTATGAGAAGAAAATTAGCACATAATCAGGAAGTGATTTTCTTGGCTGGTTTAATGATCCTGTATTAGAACTTCATTACTTGACTAGGCTTCATTTATTTAAGGGATTTACTTTGCTCATTGCTTATATGCATGAATGCCTTGTTTTCCCTTTTACATGGAAGTATACCTCTTTCCTTTCAGCCATTTTCTGATGTTTTCATTTTGGTTACTGACATCCTTGATGTATTATTTTATGTTAATCATATGATATAAGTTGGAATCATAAGGACATTTTCATATTTGGTTTCTATGTTATTGTGGATTTTGGCATTCCTTTGTGACATATTCCTTGATTTGCATTTGCAGGATGAGGAGGAGGAGGAGGATGAAGATAATGAAGAGGGGGGAGGTCTGAGTAAATCTGGGAAAGAGCTGAAGAAGCTGCTTGGGAGAGCTAGTGGTATGAATGAATCTGAAGTAGAGGACGATGATGACGATGATGATGAAGTATGGGTTTTGTTCTTATTTTTTCTTTATAATTCACCATTTTCTTTTATTTTTATATAGATGTACTATAATTGTTAATTGTTCTTTGTGCCACTGATAAAATGAAAGATAAGCATAGCTTGGTGCGAACTGCGATCCCCTTGTTGTGAGCTACAGATAACTTTTGCATTTTGTGACTTCTCTAAAAGGGAAGTGGTTGACTAGTTTTGATCTCCTAGGAATTCTGCAAAACCTTGCATATGGTTTGAACAAAACTTGAGCATTTTTCATCAATTAGTATGTCATTTTTGTTTTCCTAGATGGATGATGAGGCTGGTGTTCCTCCTGTGAATGCTACGAAGCAGAAGGATGCCCCTAAGGAAGAACCTGTTGACAACAGCCCATCAAAACCAACAACAGGACCTGCTCGTGGAACACCTTCTTCTTCAAAGACTTCAAAGGGGAAGAGAAAATTAAATGAAGAAGCAAAACAATCTAATGGTGCACCACCAAAGAAGGTGAAGGCAGAAAATGCAAGTCACTTCCTTCCATTATTACAATTATTGCTTTACTTTACCTTCCGAGAATGTTAGCTGTTTGGATAACTTTGATAATTTATCGCTAAACAATTATGTTGGTTTTTAGCTTATTTTACAAAGTTATTTTTTATTTTGAAAACCTATATTGCTTAATTGGCAAACCTTTTTTGAGAAGATTTGAACAAAATGCTCTTAATTTAACTTGGGATTGCTTTCCATTTTATGCATCCAAAGAAACTTAAAAAAAGAAGAAGAAGAAGCAATACTGCTTAATTTGAATATTTTTTTGGTGAAGATTTGGATGAAAATGATTCTAATTTAACCTGGAAGCACTTTCCAACTGATGCATCTGAACACTATATGGCTTTTGCTTATATAGTATGAGAGGTTTTCAAAAGGCGCTCTCATCAATAACTTTTTCTATTACAAAAAAATTTTAGAAGCTAAACCAACAGGTTTTCCTGTAACTCTGAAAATTTTCGTTCTCTTATTAAATCAGGAACCAAAATTGGCTGCCAAAGATGTAAATGGTTCTGCATCTAAAAGTAGTGCACCTCCAAAAGGTACACCTCCATCATCATCTAAGGCTGGGTCTTCCACCACAGCTTCTGGACCTGTGAGTGAGGATGAAATTAGGGCTGTTTTAATTCAGAAGACTCCTGTAACCACACAGGATCTTGTTGCTAAATTTAAGGCAAGACTACGATCTTCAGAGGTATGCTCTACTTTTGCTTTATCCTCAATTGAATTTGACATGTTTTGCTTAATAATTCTTGAAACCAATTTGTGTCTCCCACTATCCCAATATGTTCCAATATTTTATAATCCAACCCTGCCTTTTGCTGCTCCCTAATCCCCCACGCTCGGGTTGATTCTTAATCAACATTTGGTCTACTAGAATTGCTGAAGAGCATGAATTGTCTCATGTTTTTGGAAATTATGTGATACATCTAATTTGTATGGAGCTATACTCTTCAGAATGAATTTGAACTGATATATATCAATGTCAGATTAAAATGATGTGATCCAACTAATAATCTTATGGTGAATTATTGCCTTGTTCTTTTGGAAGGACGATTGGATGCATGAACTATGTATGATTTAAGGATAAAATGCTTATCTGATGCCTTTTACCTAGAGGCAGATAAGTATACAGATAAACAGCATTTGAAGGTAATTTAATGCCATGCTCTACCAAGGTTGAAACCAGTTTTAGCTACCAGACACGTTGAATTTTCAGTCCAGATTGTAAAATAACCATGTTGAACCAGAATGAATCAGTCAAAACCAATGAACTGGTCTGATTTTGAAAAACAGGACCATTCTAAAGTTTAAAATATTCGGCCAAAATTTCAGGCTGAGAACCTTAAAATTGAATCGGTGAATTTACAATTTTATGGAACTAGCTGTTAGCTCCTGTACAAAGTAAAAACGGCAGCCTTAATTTACTCTAAAGCAAAAACGAAAAGTGGCAGCATTAAGATAAAGGAGGAAAAAGCACCTCCTCTCTCTCGTGCCAGCGTGGCACTTGTACCGGAAAATTTTAGGGTTGCCCTGGTGAAGGTGTTTTTCTCTAATTGGTACATTTTTGTATATTCTATTTATTTACAATTTTCCTGTGATTTGCTTGGATAATTGGATTGATGGCAAAAATGTTCATCCGTAACCTGATAAGCATCATCAGTTCAATTTTTAAAACTTTGCTCAAAACTGCTTTTTTGATTCTTTGCTGTATGCAGGATAAGCAAGCATTTGCTGAGATTCTTAAGAGAATATCTAAGATACAGAAGACTACAAATGGATCCAGTTATGTTATCCTGCGAGATAAGTGACAATGTATGCCGCTATGATTGGTTCTGACGGAGGATGCCAGCATTAAATTTAAATGAAGTTAATATATAAATATATATTTTCACATTTTGGGTACCATCTTCGAGATGCTACGACTATTGATTTAGTAAGCTAGTGTCCTTTATGACTTGTATAACAAATCTTAATCATGGTCACAAGAGTGAAATGAAAATTATAAAGGTTTTATCAAGTAGAAATACACATTTTGTTCTTATAATAAATACTTATTACGAATTATTTTTTGTATAAAAAATTATTTTTTACTTTTATAAGTATGTCATTATGATTTGGTTTCTATCATTTTATACTATTAGAAAAAATTATTGTTTATTGGAAAAATTTGTTCATTAAGTTAATGTTACTAAGTCACGTCAATATATATATTATAGTGTTAAAACAACATAGGTCATAATGAATATCAATTATATGGACAATAAAAAGTGTGATTAGTGCATTCTTATTATGATCTTTCTTGCACCTAGGATTTTTTTATAAATATTGAATCTTAATCAGGATCTTAAGGATCACTTTTGTTTTCAAAACTTGTTAAAAATCATATTTCATCAGGTAACAAATGAAAGTGGATAGGTTGTTTGGAGAGATGATGTATTACACCAGTTTATGGAATAAACAGCATATGCTAGTTAAAGACATGGTAGATGCAAATTATGAGATCAATTGTGCTTATCCAAACTTAGTTTTTGTTTTATGTGCAAAGTATTAACACTTGCTTGACCAATAATTTCATGACATTTCAGAATGCTGTGCTGTGGGAAATAAACCGGCCACTGACAGCGCAAATGTACTGGCTGTAATTTCAGAAATTAAATCTTACACTTAGAAACAGTTGTAAGCTAGGCAATTTCGAAATTGTCCTAGATTCTACATAAATTCATAGAACAGTATTAAAAACAACCAATATCTTTCTCAAACTAGACATACGTCTCACATTTAAAAAATAAATTGTGACATAACAATTTCCCAAATCCCAAAATATTGTCTAAATACACGTAGAGAATCAATTATTCTCCTCAGTCCTCAGAAATAGGCTTGTGTAAGACGTCAATAAGCAAGGCCTATAATGACGCAAAATATTACCGTGAGCATTAACATGGTGTTGCGTCCATAACGGGCCGAACCAGAAGGAGCAGCTGGCCCAGCAGCCTCATCTGTTAGGGTAGAAGAATTTATGATTCGTGTGGCCTTGGGCTGAACCTCAACGGGTAGCTTGAGTCCATTTTTACAGTTCTCGGGTTCACTGCTCACAAAGTACCTGATTCCTACCCTTTCAAGTGGAATAGTATGCAAACCCTCTGTGTACATCTTGATGGGGTTGCTCACATCACACGCCTCATATTCCTCTCTGCTCTTCAGCTCTGCCACTAATCCCTGGGCCACAGAGTAGGTGAGCCCTGCCCATTTTGGCACGTGCCACAGGCCCACAAAGTACTCGGGTTATTATTTTTGTGATTCAAATAGAGAGAAACATATCGACCGAAACAGAAAATAGGGAGAAACAAGATGACAAAAAGAAAGAGAGACATGTGAAAAGACAGGAATTAAAAAGTCCCGTAGTACCTAAAAAACATTTTTATAATACATTATTATCTATGAAGTCGCAGTTTGATCATAATTTCATCTTCGCATGTTATAACACAAAAATAAATTTACAAAGCAAGTATTTTGTCAAATTAAAATATATGTTACCTACTAATAATATTCTATCTTTTTTATCTCTATGTATAAAAATTGTTTTATTTTATTTTTTTGTTGGGAAAATTATTTTAATTTGACTTTTATATTTCACATTAATTTCATACTAATCCCACAATATTATAACACAACAATATAATGCAAAAAACTATGATATCAATTATTTGTTTAACAACTAAATTAAAATTTTTGCACATACAAGTATTAAAAAAAAATGTTGCATTTAAAAATTAAAAATATAATTAGCAAAAAAAAATTTAGAAATACATTCAAGTTTTTTTAGAAATATTCTAAATACAGAATAAACTAATGTCAATGTTCTAAATTTTTTTCTTTTGTTTTTCTACCCTAACAAAAATTCTTATCTAATGCTAATAAAAAGAGGTAGAAATAGATTTATTATTAATATTTTTTTATTTATTTAAAATAAAATAAAGCTTAATAAAAGATATTTCTCTAAAAAAACTTTTTACTTTTGTTTTTTCAAGTTTGAGATATACTCCATTAAATCATGTTATTTTTCTAATTTGCTATCATTTTGTTATGGAATATTTAAATAATATCATACCCTTTGAACTCATTTTATTTAGTTAAGGGAATCAATTTATCTAAAAAAATGGTTTTATTTGTTGACAACAACAAAAATTTCGAAAAAAATGGTCCCCCAAAAACAAAACAAAACAAAACGATACCAACAAGGAACCAAGTCCATGGCTTTTGGGATTCACAAATTAATGAGGATACATATTAAAACAAATCTTTTAAGATAAGTAAATTAACAATCTCAATCTCTTTGTACCAAAAAACAATAGAACAAACTCAGCCTGTGGGCTGCGCTGATGAAATGGAACCATAGAGCACACAGGGACAAACAATCAATGAAAGCTAACGTAAATATTTTATACTCTTTTTTCATTCATTATTTTTCAAAAGAAGTAAACATAGAGAACAAACTCAACGCCATGTCCCCAAATCAATATCAATAATAATAATAATAATAATAACAAAATATATTTGCTTATTCTTATTTTCCATGACAATCAAGAAAGGACTGAAACTGAACCACAAAAGAGTGGTTCATAAAACAACACACCGGACATTTGGTAAAATGTATGTTTGAAAAACTAATAAAATTATGTTAAACCACGTCAAGCTATAATTTTAGCAATGAAATTCCGTTTGAGTGGATTTGAAGCAAAACCACACTAAAAATAAAGAGAGGAAGAAATGCTTACAAATTTGGTCTCCGACCCTGAACACCCTGCCCGAAGACCAAGAAACGAGGTCTGAGGTTGGATCCCACCCACGGTCGCCACCCACCACATGATGCATCTCTGCTTCCACCCATTTTCCACATAGGCACATGACCACCACCACAACACCAAAAATCACACCTTTACCCATTTTCATCTTTCTATATTCCTCAAACTCAAACAAAAGGTTTCTGGGTGTCTGTTATGTTATGTATGGACTGGATTGGTGATGAAGAAAACCGAAAGCGCTTTTTGGTTATAAATATCTTTTGCTGCGGAAGGAATCACTTTCCGGGTAGCTTCCTACCTCTCACAAACTCACACGAAGCAAAACAAGGACTGGTAGTTGTGCCTCTGCTCCCACACTCACTACAACCAATTGTCAATAGCTTCTTCTGTAAATTGATGCCACCAACCTATTTTCTATTTCCTTCCATTTCTATGCCTTTCTTTTTATCCCTTAACAACAATAAAGTGAATCCCTTCCATGATTTTCACTTTTGTTTTATCATTTTACCCCCCTTAAAGCTGTCACATTCCTTCCCCTTTTTCCCTCATTCACTGTGTATTCAAATTTCATCTCTGTGTCCAAAAAAGGTCCGTGATTAATTGAAATTTTTTGATGCTACCGTTTCAATTTTCTCATCTAAGTCTGTGGTTTCCGGAATTAGCATTTTATGATAAAAACATTAATTTTAAGATAATGGATTTGTACTCTCTACTATTATTGAATACTAATATAATTATATTTGAAAAAATTACTTTAAGTAAATTTTATTAATAGAACTAATGATAAAACTATGGTAAGTCTTAAATAAGAATTGTGCCTTTTTTTTTAATATTACTACATTAGATTAATTAATGACGATTTAAATTTGTCAAGTATAGCTTCTTGGTTCAATAGCAATAGATAAAATTGTAACTATTCGATACATTATTAAAAAAATGAATAAAATTTATTACCTGAAACTTGAATAGTCTCCTGACAAAACGATCATGGTGCTAATATTTTGCAAAATAATCAAAACAAAGTGACTAAATCGCCTGAGATAAATATTCCGGGAGCGATAGACAAACAATCCACGTCACACTCTTTATAATATACTCTTACTTATTAATTCAATTATATTAAATACTCTAAAAATATAAAAAATCATTAAATTAAAATTAATTTTTCTCAAAAATTATTTCAATATCATGGTTACATACCATATAAAAAAAACGTCTCTCAATGGTTCCAATTTTTAAAGGCATTCATAATCTTCTCTCCCTATGTAGATAAGAGTTTTTTATATAAATAAAATATTTTGAATGTAAAATTATACATGCATCTTAGAATTTTTTTATATATATAAATGTCCTAAACCTGTTAAAGTAAAATCGATTAAAAATTACCAGTAAAACTTCATTGCATATGTCGATTGAAGTCAACTCCCATTTTCATCATTCATACTCCAAAAGAAATCGATTAAAGTTGACTTTTTTGCTGCAAAGAAGTCGATTGCAATCAAATTTCGTGTTTCATAGAAGTCGATTAAAATCCACTTCCAATTGTTAATTTCTAGGTCCAAAGAAGTCGATTATAATTGACTTGCATGGTAAAGGAAATTTGATTGAAATTGATTTCAATGTGATTCTAGAGACGAGTATAATCAACTATTTTATATATCATTCAGTCTCTTAACACCATCGAGAACAGAGACTAAAGAGAGTGAAATCGAAAAAAAGCGGATACAATGGAAGAAGATGGATAATGATCGATATTGGCTTAATTTTGTTTATCATATTGCAAGCAAGCTTAACACACAGGTAAATTAATTTTTAAATATATTTAGTTAAATTATAATTAATTATTTATGTATTTAATTTAATGTTTTATTAATTGTGTAATTAGATATTTGAAAAGATGTGTAAATGTTAATTATTATATTGTAAATTAAATTTAATTGTTTGTTATAATTATAATTATTATATTAAGAAATGTAAATTAAAACTTAATTATTATGATAAATTAGTTTTGTGTTGTAGTAATTTATAAATTATAATAATTTTGTATATATTATTTTGTTATTATACAAAAATTTTGAATTTTAAAAAGTAGACATTATAATATGATGGTCGTTCCAGATTCAAGAATGAAACCATTTCTTAGAGAGACCAGTTTTTGGCATGTTGCACAGATGGTCCTAATATTTGATTATCATAAGACACTCATAAGTACACTTGTAGAACGTTAGAGACCTAAGTCACACACATTTCATCTTCCATATAGAGAATGTACGATCACTTTGGATGATGTTGTATTTCAACTAAGCTTACGTGTGGATGAAGTCCCTGTGAGTGATTGTATTGGAGTGTGGGAGAAATTGTATGATCAAAATATATGAGCGTTGTGTGAAAATTTACTTGAAGTAGCTCATGATGAGAGAAACATAAAAGGATTTTCTGTAAATTTTCAGTGGTTCACAGATACATTTGAAGCATTACCTCACAATGCTGATGGACAGACTATTATCTGTTACACTAGAGCGTACATAATAGTTGTAACGTCCCAAATTTTATAATAAGTGTTTGCATTGACTTTTCCGTGTTGTGTATTTATAATATATATAAACATATACATGTATGATGTGAATGGATATTTGAGTTGCACTTGAGCGTGTGATGAACTTTGAATGCTTGTGTGTACAAATGAGTATAGATGCGTATAAATATACTTGTATACGATTGGGTTGGATTAATTAGACTGAAAAAAAGGTTAAGGGTGTAATACTGCGACATTCTCGCTGTAGCGAGAGGGCCCTAGAAGGAAGGCGTGAAACTGTCGCCTTCTCGCTGCAGTGAGAAGTCCCTCACCGTAGAGACAAAGCGACAGTTTGGGGTGCATTTCAAGGTGTAGTCTCGCTGTAGCGAAAAGGACTCACTGTAACGAGAGTGTCGCGACCAGAAAGGGATTTAAAGGGGTTAAGGCTTGAGGAAGTTTCATTTCTCACTTTTCCTTCGAGATTTTTTTGATTCCCTCACTCCTAAACCCTATTTCACCGATTAAATTGCCTCTAAGCCGCTTAGAAGCAAGATTGAAGGTTGGATTTGTGTAGGGAACGCTTGGAGGTGAGTTTTAATGGTTAGGGTTTTGGTTTTCCATCCTCATCCTCTGATTTCTCAATTTTTCTGGGTTCTCATGAGATTCTTCCATGTATTTAGGTCAAAGTTCATGTGAAGGAGCGCCTACCTTGTTAATTTGGTGTGTGGATCTTCATTTGAGGTAAGGAGAGACTCTACTCTATCTCATTATGTTTAAATTACCGTTTATTTCGTTGAATGTTGTGATGTGACTGAGATAGAAAGTAAGAAATGTGTGATTTGATGAAAATTATTGTGTGTGTTTGGAGTGAAATGTGAATTGATTGTGGGATTGACATACCCTTGATTGAGAATTTGTGTGAGCATGTTGAGTAATGATGATTGAATAATGTAAATGGTTAGAAATGGATATAGATGACCTGTTGATATGTTGTGTGAATGAATTATGGGCCTGTGTGCCATGTACTGCAAATGAATGTGGGCCTCTGTGCCATGTAATGTGAATAAATGTGGGCAAAGTATGTCGTGTATGATATGCTATGAATGGTTCAGCGATACACTAGAGGTGTGGAGATGGAGATAGCAAAAATACCTTAGGGAAAAGAGAGTAGTGGTGACACCAACAGTGAGCGTGGATGCACCACAGGCCACACATTCTCTTCATGACTAGACCTTTGACCACTACTTTTGTTGAACGACCCATGACTGCCCACGCGGTATTCGTGAGGCAGGAGTAATCGGTGACCATTCATGGTGTGAAATTGTGATAACAGTGTCACAGTGAGCATGGCTAGATACGGTGAGAATACATGTGTGGAATGTTAGTGCAGTGAGTGTACCGGTTGTGTTTTAAATTAGAATAGAGGATGAATAATGATTGTAATTGAGATTGAGATGCTTGTATTGTGGATGCATGATTTAAAGTACATTGGTAAATGTGTAGTATATGAGGTGAGTCTCTATGTTTATGTGTGATGGAGAGTGTAGATTGGTAAATGTGTAGTATCTAAGGTGAGTCTCTATGTTTATGTGTGATGGATAGTGTATAGTACTCACCCTTACATTTATTTTTCAGGTGACCAAGACGATCAGCACTAGACTCAGTGAAAGAAAGATGAATTGTTATAGGACTTAAATTGTATTTTGAAATTATGATGTAACTGAATTAGTCCTGTAGCAGTTTTTGATATAAATTTGTAATCCTTTATTATTTTGAATTGTTTTATGAAACTCTATGATGAGATCTTTTTATTTAAATAAAAATTCTATTACTCTCATTTTGCGAAAATTATTATTTGGAAATTAATTTAAGGTGTTACAATAGTTTTATTTGTTTCCAGATAAAATAGGATTTAGGATTCATATGAAGTGACTACTTCTTTTAACTGATTTTACTAAGATTTCAAACTATAGTTGGGGTTATGTTATTCTAGCATCCCTTTATCGTGAGCTTTGTCATGTAGTGAAATACAATGTCATCGAAGTTGTAGGTTGTTTACCTCTTCTACAGTTTTGGGCATGGTATAGAATACCTCAGTTAGCCCCTAGGCACCATCATCCTCTTACTTTTCTACTAGCATTGAGGTACATATATTTATCAATATATTATTTTTTGTTATTTATATATGTTAAATTTGCAAGTAAAAACTAATTATACCCATTTCATGTGGAAAAGTTATAGGTCATTGACGAGATCAGATAAGTTATTGCAATATAGGAAGATCATTGATTTCATTGGCATTATTGGGATAAGTTCAAATAGAGTGTATGCTGTTAACTTTTGTTTTGAATGATTTTATTTAATAGTCTAATATTTGTTATTGATTATTTCAGTTTAAGTGAACGCCCTACAACAATAATGAGGTCAGGAACATTATACCTTCTTTTGTGTATGAGACGTTGATGTTTAGGCATCTATCACTGCTTTTATACAATTTACTGTGATTGAGTGGAACCCTGTTGATCACGTAGTTCAACAATTTGGTAGAACACAACACATACCAATTAGGCTGATAAATATTGATCGGTTGCACATTAAGGATGGAAGGAGTGATTTAGATATATGGTGGTTTAATTATCATGTGACATGACATGCTGCATGGGTGGCACGTAGGGAGCGACGAGTTCAATATCCTCTAGCTGATGATGATTGTCTTTCTATCAAGTACTTTTAGTAGTTCTTGTCAGTCACTAATAGATTTTTGTCGTTAGATGGAGTCCCACAGAATGTAGAACTTAAGGACTTACCTGATTGTGTACCATTATATGCCCCCAACACCTGACAT